TTTTGATTTTTCCGATCAAAATACGCTCTTTTAACAAATTTATTAAACTAAATTCAGAATCTTCGCAATTTAATTAAATGGAACACCTACTTTTTTGTTTTATATGTAATGCGCTAAAATTATTATTCACTGAAGAATGAATATATTCTTCTTTAAAGTAACAATTTAATTTTTCTAGTTTTTGTGTAATTAATTTTTGACAAAAAAATAAAATTATTTCAAAACTAAGTCAAATCAACCACTAAAATTTAGGTAAATATAGGGTGTTTTATTAAAAAAGTTGCTGTTGTAATATCATTTCTTGACTTTCTGATGACTGAAAATTATTTCAATGAGGTTTGCATGTATACACATTGTTAAATATTTTTCCTACGACCATATACGAAACTAGATCATAACGCACAATTACATATGCGCGAAAATTGGCAATATCGTACGAGGTCAAAAACCTGTGCGATTTGTTTTCGCACTGTGTGTTAGAAATCTAACGCACAATTCACACTCGAATGTTTTGTATTTTTTCATTTAACGTATTTTTTTGTATCCATTATAAAAAATAAATCGTTATGAAAAAAAAATGTTCGTAAGAAAAAAATATTTATGGTCGTAGGAAAAATAGTGTACAAAACTTGCAGGAAAGTGTCTAAGGCACTCGCGGTATTGCCTGCACTCGGCTAACGCCTCGTGCGCAACTTTTCCGCTTGTGCGTTATTTATCACTTTCCGTGCTCGTTATGTAATATACTATTTCATATTTGAAGATAAAATTTTGTTAATGAATTTGTATGAGTTTGCATAGTTTTTCTGGAAAATCAAGGACCGATGATTTTCAAATTAAATTCCATGGAATGAAAATTTGCGAAAAACCCCCGACTAAAAATTTTTCAGCCATGTTGTGGACCAAATTTTTGACCAGACGACTTTTTGTGTCGAATCCTCTCAAGTTGTTTGTGTTGTGCAAGTGTCATCAAAATAATTTACTCCAATTAAGAGAGCAATTTGAGATTATTGCGAGTGTGATGCCGCAACGACACTAAACAATGTTCAGTTTAAGGAGTTTAATAAGTAGGTAGGTGTCACATTAATGATTTATGTAATGATTTTCAGGGAGTGAAAGATTTCGCGGTCAATGCAACGATCTTGAAATCATAATAAAACCTATATGGGTTTAAATTGGAGGTGATCTAGAGAAAAACAATTTCGATTTGTGGTCATTTTACGTATATGGATGTGACCTTTGTCTAGACCTCGGCACTTTTTCAAAATTTTCGATACGATTTCCCCTTGGGTTTTATTAAATTAGCACAAAGGCTAAAACGAGATTTCTCTAAATACTACCGGTGCCATCTTGTGACCATGGAACAAACACTTCAACATTCTAAATCCCAGTTGACCCATATTTTAAATTAAACACCATATCAACCGTAAAAATGATCGATTAATTGAAATTTACAACTTTTTCTGAATTAGTGTTGATATTTATTAAGACGTTTGCTTAATTGTTTTAATGAATTGATAAACAGAATAATAAAGATTAATTGATGTAATTAGTTTTTAGTTTTCCAACAACGGCAAAAATATCGTACATGGAAAATTGTGACCCCACACAACCCTGATTGTTTACACAGAAATAAAAACAAAAATTAAATATTTTGTTTTATAATAAAACAAGTTCAAACAACTTAGACAAAATGTGACGTCACGAAAAAAGTAGTTTGTTCTCGTATTGACGGGTAGGTCATCGAGTATGATAATAGATATTATATTTATATGATAAAAATTCTTATTCACGATTTCATGTTTACACTTATGTATTGTTCATTTTATCAGTATATAATCATCGAATTAACTACGCAGTATCCACGCATAAGTAAAAAAAAATCTTCTTCAAGGGTTAACAAGAGAAAGCCTTCAAAAGACATCACTATTGACTCTACTTGTTATCTCATAAGCAATGAAAGTGATAATTGTACGACGACCTGAGAATTCCCAAAATGCGTTTTTGGTGTTTTTTTTTTTTTTGAAAAATATTGCGTCCACGGTTAGAATTTTTTACTTACACGAGGGTGGATTTCGTCAGTAAAATGTTGTATTTTTAACTGAGGGCCACTTTTTCGCGGAACACTTCACACACATTTCCAAAATCGGTGAAAATTTGGTCGAATTTCGCACGTTTGTCTTCGGGTTCAGAAGCACCGATTGCAGGTGGTTTGCTCCTTCGTTTCGATTTAAAACTGGTGTGAGAATGTGGAAATCATTCACTTAAACTATACTTGTGTTTATATAAATATTTCAAAGTGACGGTGTTTGCCGAACACAATCATAATCATCGGTAAATTGTGATAATTTCAAAAGTTCTTTCTCTACTGATTCATTTTTCTATCAAGAAGTTTTCGACCGAAGAGACTGATATGGGAAAATAAACAGCATTAGCCTCTGTTGACAGAAATGCTGATAATTCTAATTAACTACATTTATAAATTATAAACAGATTCTCTCACAATGTAAGACAATAAAACTCAGTTTTCGGATCCGCGTAAATTCCGCCAAATTCTGCAAAATTGTTAGTGACTCACTTTTTGTAAAATTCCACGAAATTTGAATCGAAAATGTAATTGTTATCAGTCAAGTTGTCTTGTAATTAGCGAATTAAAATTAATTCTCCTTCTCCGAATTACGAATTGAAAAAATGACAATCATGCCAATTCAAGGGTTCGGGTTCTTCATTTAAGCAATCAATGATGTCATTTGGCTTATTATATCTGGATTAAACTTGAAATTTCAGCCAATACCATTCTAAAGCCTAAATCAAGTAATATTTTTTCGATGAGTTTCCATCAGTGTTATCAACTATTACACAAACTGATTATCATGCGAATGATCATATTTCATATTAGAATTATTTAAATCTGTGTCATTTTCCACCGAAAAATTTACGTAAATAGCACCAATTAGGAAACAATTCGCACGTAATTTCGCCTTTCTGGAACTCTAATTGAAAAATTGATTGACAAGCAAGTGTTAATTTTTCGGGCAAATAGTGTGTTAAAATTCAGGGTAAAAAAGGAAAAATACCTGAAGTACTCAGAGATGGATTTGGCACTCCTGCAGGGCTGCTAGCAACCTCCGCAGTTAAACTAAGTTGGTGAAAACAGCGGCAACTATATATATTAGTCCAGACCATCTCATTGTTAACTAAGTTGATCAAAAAGTAAACAAGTAAACATGTGATGTAATCTTTTACATATAAAACCGTACATCTTCCACCCGTTTGACACTAATGCCAGCACAAAACCGATCAATTGGCGATTTTTCCTCCGCAAAATGCCATTTTCCACAAATTACGTCAGCAGAAGACATTGTTTCATAATATTGCAAACAGAACTTAATTCGAAACGTCTATTTAAACAAATTTAATCCAGGGGTGCTTAGGGTGATTTCAACAGCGTTGAGACTTTTCGCGCTCGCGGGGCTTGCCCGTCTGGAGACAATTACAATTTGCAAATGAAATGTTTAAACAAATTATCTACTTGTACGCTTCATACGTTTCAAAGCCTAATTTATTTAATTTGGTTGTATTGAGGTAGATTGCAACAGTTCTGTCTCAATAATGAAAGTGTTTTTCTGTTGGTTTATTTAATTAAAAACTTTACTTGTCAAAAAACGTTTACATAAATCACTGAGACAGTGTGACTTAAGTATTCTTCCATCTGGTAGAGTAAATAATTGCGAAAACGTATTTATTATGCGAGCGCATAATCACAGAATGGTCCTGGATTTTTGACCAGTTGGAAGCAGATAATAAATTAAATTAACTGAGGAGTCGACATAACGACTTAATAGTTTTATGATTTTTTATTAAATTGGGTTGACTTACTTGGACATTCTAGGGGTGTTGGTCTTTTGAATTTTCTCGATTTTTTCAAACGTACAAGTGGTCAATTTTCCGTCACAAATTTCTCGGATTAAAAACCACGTACGTAGTGACTACAAACGGTCATTGTATAACAATGGTGAGTACATGATAAGTTTAAAATGGTTTATCCTATTTGGTTAACTACTCTCAACACAAGGTCTTTATAGCCCCTTTTCTTTGTAAAATATCATTAGCTACTTACTTCTGATGCTATACGTAGCTGTCAAATTGTTCAAATGGATGTGGAGGTAGGTAATAACAGCTTTAAAATTTCAAATCATTTATTTTATCATCACTTCTGTTGCTTCCGTTCCGCCATTTCTTCTCATGCGTGCATTTTCTGTTATTGTTTCATTCGAGTGAGAAAATTACTTAATAAATATGGAAATAAATTACAATTTACAGCTTACTGGTATTCAACATTTACACGCTTGTTATATGCTAATAGATGTTTATTTACTACAGAAAAATACTAACATATCAACACTTAATAACTTCCTATTCATCACAATTGTTAAGTATCTTCAAATTTTTATGTACAAAGATGACGCAGAATCCTGAAAATGAAACTTTTTTATTCTGAAACAATTCTAATTCATTTGACTTTCACAACTCTCAAGGCATACATCTTAAAGACTAAGGACAAGTCGGATTTTCAAAGACTCGCCTTCAGAATACCATAAATACTCAAACTCATCCCGTAATTATTATTTTTTCTGCTTTGAAAAGTTTGCTCTTACATATTTTTAATTAATTATCTACAATAAATAAGTCCTGTTTACTGAGTCTCGTGGCCTTTCAGTTTTTCTTAATTTTATCTCATGTTTGATTTAGACGTATTGTATTTGAAATCACAAAACCTGTTTGTTTAAGCAAAAGGGTTGTTTTGTGTGATAACGCGATTAAATAGAACGTTTAAATATTTATTTTGAATACTTACCGATTGTCTTACGAGTTGCCTAAACCCGGGTATGGTGCGCCCTCTGTTGCCAATAGTCGGAATGAGAGTCGGCCTTAAGTGACCCAGGAACAAGGTCCATGCACTTGAGAAGTCAATAGAATCAAATCAAATGATTGTTAAACAATTATGTTTAATCATTAATTTTATTACTTTACAAATTTACAGTTTATTGTTACTTAACAATAACAGAACTCCAGCTGATTGAGTTTGAGTTCGAGTTCAATTAAAGTAAGATTTATTTAAATTCCATTTGGGATGGAGTACTTTTAATAGTGTCGTGAAGTTTTTTAAAACTTTCCCTCACAACACTACTTTTAAGGTTCTACCAGAATCGGGAGAATTACATAAATCTATTGCATGCCAACAATCCAGTTAAATAATTTCTGGTGGGGAATGTGCTACATATACATATATTAAGAAATTATTTAAGGATTAAGTAACAATTCCCTAAAAGAAAAAATTGATCATAGTGTTCCCGTTGATAAAATTATGTAAACCTGAGTTCGCTTCATTACGTCCACATGTGGACGCAATGTAATGAACTTATCTATATAAATAATGTGAATTAAGTAAGAGAAAAATAATTAATAAATGAGATTAGACTGCATTAATTGATTATTTTTCATTGCGCACCAGTTTTCAGAATAAACGACGGAATTCCACCATCTAAGGGTATATTTTCATTATTTACACTTTGATTAAGTAGGTACATCCAGAATGAAATTATAAATCAATGACAGTGATAGAACCAAGTGACAAACAGCAGTATGAAATATTTACATTTACGAAAATAGTATGTATTGAAAATTAGATCTGTATACAATCACAAACGGTCTTACCTCTTAAAGTCGCCAAAAAATAAGTTTTTACTTGATAGAAGCTCTATATCTTAGGCTAGAATTTCCAAACAATGATCATTTGTAATTGCTGGAATCTAATCGGCCACTATCTTATTTACAGTTATTAGAAAATTAGAATCACAGTAGATTCCACACGTCGAAAAACGAAGAAAAGTTAAATCTACAAGCAAAAATAGTTCTATATTACATTAAAAATTAGACTACTGGTTCTATTCAACATGTTTTCGTTTTTAGCAAATCATTTGGAACAATAAATGGCCTCATTTAGTTTAAAACTTAATAGTTAACAATAAAATATACTAATCACTCACAACTTTCATTTTAGAAATTTAAAAGACAATTTAAATTCTTCTTTTAAGTATAATAAAACAGATCTAGAATGTGTTTTCTCCACATCTACTGTCCTCTTCAAAAATGCAAATATTACAGTAACAGGGTGCAACTTTATTTATCAAAATTCGTTCTGTTAATAGATCGAAATTCTTGATGTACTAAACTTTAGCTAATATCATAAGTACGGATTGACAGTGTTTTCCGTCTCAATGAGGTAACTAGGTATTTATTATAACTATAAATACTAGTCGATCTAATTCCAGAACGGAGGCATTGCATTATCTAACTATTCATTATAATCCCACCATTCTTTTTCATAACCTTCGTGGACATGTTCCAGAAGAACTTTCCTCCTACTGTCGCAATACCTGAAAAAGTACCAAATCGTAGTAACAACTCGTTACATCTCAATTTCCTTACCTGTATTTATCTTGGACTTTTTGCTTAATATCGGCGAGATTTTCAGACGTAATATCTCTCTCTAAATACTCCGATAACGTTTCAGTGGCACTCTCCAGGTCTTTTTGGTTATCTTCGAAGATCACAGATTGGTTATTTTTTTGTAAATAGTAAGCGAAAACGTAAGTATACATTAGCGTCTGTCGACATTGACACAAAATATCGACCGCTCTTTTAAGAAACTGTACTTCAATCCAGCTCATATTATGATGCTGCATCTCTTCCATCTTCTCCTTAACCGACGCATACAACTTATGTTCGAATTTTAGCGACGCCATATGGTTCATATATCTATTACAGTAAAATAAATATCTCTGCAACGCCGATCTCGACTTTTCTTGAGCATCTCTCGCCGCTTTCGCTTCATCCTCATCGTATCGATTACAATTATACCATGAAGTACCATGAGGCTCCCATGGTCCCAAACACACCCAACAGAAATCCGCCTTGCAGTTCTGGTTTTTGCAAACCATGTGGTTACAGCCGCCGTCTTTTTCGATCGTTACGTTACACTTTGGACACTCTTTGGTGTTAGCTGCTATCCAGTTACTAGTCTCCGAATCGTCGTCGCATTTCTTTATCCATTTTTTCAATAGGTGACACTTTACAGGATCGTGCCAGTTTTCACCGCAAGCAAAGCAAAACGTGTGGTTACATTTGCACGTCACACGGTGGGGCTCCACATACTGCACCTTTATTGCGTTGCTACAGTCTGGCGAGGGACACCATCTCAGCAAACGATTGCACTGTAACAAGGTTTTTTTTTTAATTTTGACCAAAAAGCAATTTCGTGATAACGACTAATACAAAGCACAATTTGTTGGCCATGACAATAAAAAACTGTTACAATAGTTACATTTTATCTAAAAAACCTACATAATCAACTAAAAAGTTGATATACATATCTACTATTTTTCGAAATTAAATGGTTGTTCAAATGTCTTCTATTCCTGGTGTAAGCACGTTAATATATTTAATTTGCTTAATTTGTTTGTAGTTCACGATTACAAAAACAAAAAAGTATTACCAATGATATACAGCGTGTTTTTTCATTTAAATATATCTTTTCTATTGATTTACAAATATTGTGACAACAAAAATGAAACTAGGTATACATTTAAACTGTAATAATAGCTTTTGTTTAAAAATATTTTGTCGTTTCATCTTCGTGCAGTGGCGTAGCAAGAGGGATTAACGAAAAAAAATCAAATTATAACGAGTAAAATATAATAATTAATTTATTTCATTTTTAAAGACATTTTCTCTTATTCCACAAAAATAGAGGAACATAAATACACATAATTTGATAAACATAGTTGCAAATGTCTGGTAATTATAAAAAAATTGAATTTTTGTAAAAAATATGCAGTGTATTTATATTAACTTAAAAATGTCTACTTCTTGAGAAATAGTGGAAAAACAAAAATGAAATTTGGTATAATTTAAAATAATGGTTAAAGAAAAATGATCTTCCCATTGTCACATAAATTTAGTGGCAGGTCATAAATAAAAATGATTTTTAAAGTTAAGATGGAAAATTGCGTTTAATTCAAAATTTAATTGGTATTTTTTTCTGATTTTGTAAATAATTATAAAAAAAAATGAATACTAAAAAATTATGAAATGTATCTTTCCAATGCCCAAGTAAGTGTACAAAATATCAACAATTTTATATAATTAGAAGTGGGAATTTCTTCCCCCCTCCCGGTATATTTGAACTAAAAAAAGCTTCAATTGAACATATTTTGACATTTGTTCTGGGGCGAAGTGAAAGATTAATCTAGTCTAGTCTAGTCAGGACTAATATAAATTAATTTTTTTTAATTTGTTTTTTATTAAATAATATTAAATAATAATAGTATAAATATAACTCAGTATGCAGTATGTCCCCGGATTGAGTTTACAAAAGGAAAAAAACATTTATGTTTGATTTTACGTCAAAACTTACTTAACCTGAAACGAGCAATCTGTAATAATTACAAATTTTAATTATCAAAATTTCATTATTCTGATTAAATAGGAAAAAAGTTCATTTTTCTCTTGACTTTGGACTAATTTTTCTCTCCTTTTTAAGTTACATCACAATGGTAATTTTATTTTTTGACAATATCATTTTTTCAATTAATTAATTAATTAATTGAATAATGATAGTTCTTGTTAAAAATGACTTTGTTTTTTATCTTAAAGCTGTTTTTTGGAGTTGCCATTTATTAAAATTACGTTTTTTACAAACATTTCTGTTATTTAACTTGCGGAAACTCATTTGTCAAAGTGACATCGTTGTCAAAAAAATAAAACCGCCAATGTGATGAGCTTTAAAATACAGATAAAAATAATTACAAGTCAAAAATCAAGACAAAAATGAACTCTTTTTTCAACTGAGTCAGAATAACGACGTTTTAATTACCGATTTGCTCGTTTCAGGTGAAGCAAAAAATGTTTTTCCTTCGCAGTTTTGGCGTAAAATCAAAGATAATTTTTTTGTCCTCTTGTAGACTCAAATAAATGAAATTCGGTATATATTTAAACAAAAATAATAGCTTGTTTGAAAATACTTTGATTTCTTATTCGAAAAGATTTACGAAAAAATTTTTCAAATTATAACAAGCACACATATACAAGGTGGGCAAAAAATATGAAACCAAGTGTTTTTCAGAAAATAATAATTAATCAAAATTAAAGTGCTATAAATAATGTGATCGTGTTTTGAGAATAAAATTGAAAAAAAAAACAAGTTTTTAAGTTATGCTATTTTTTCAACGTGGCAACTTAAAAATTCAATAAAATGTAGATGTAATCCTTACATCAAAATTAAAAATTTTGTAAAACTCAAAAACAAAAAATAAAAACCTTATTTTTGAGAAACGTTCACATTTTTATAGTCCTTTATCATTCATCAAATTAATTTTTTCAAAAAATAAATAGTTTAAGCAAAAACATTTGGTCCCATACATCTTGTTCACCTGGTATAATTTATTTCAATTTTAGTAAGACTTTTATTACTTCTCAAAAATGTGTTAACATTTGGTATAGCTGTAATTGTCTAACAATTTTAGACTATTATGAATGATATATAGAGTGTTTTTAACTTAAAAACACCTTTTTATAGCCGCAGAAACAGTGGAAAAGCAAAATGAAATTTGATATAAATTTTAATTAATATAAATATTTTGGCGTTTCCAATTCGTTTAACCGTAAGCTTAGTTCTTCACAAAAAATCTAGTCATGACATGATAAAAATATTCTAATTAATACATTTAATTTTTTTCTATTACTTCACAAATAATGAAGTAACATGTACTCACGTACTCATAGAACAACAAAAATGAGATTTAGTGTTATTTTAGACCGACAAATAATTTTTAATTACAAATATCTTTTATTTCTAAATCTATTTTCGTATTTACGTCTCTTTGGTTACATTTACGTCAACGAATCTTAGACGTTTGTGTGTAAAATGAGTCAAAAAGTGTTACATAAATGTGGAAAACTTTTTATTTCCTAGTTAAGAGTAAATTTATTGTGTGACATTAAACTAAACAATGGAAAAATATAAAAAATGGTTAGTGTTGCAAAACAATTGATCCACAAAAATAAAATATTGCAACAATATTTTCTGTGTTTACATCACGGTGCCTGCTTTGTTTTTTCACAATCTTAAACTTGTTTTGTTTCAGCTAGCGCCATCTAGCGGGTATGTTATCGCATATGTGAGCGCCTCTAAACAATTTTTTCATTTTTGATACTTACCTCAACAAAGCTATTAGTAATTAAATGTTGATATTTTAATTTAACTTTAGAATCCTTCACTAATTTCATAACAGTTGCATCATCAACAAGGATGTCACAGCCGTACGCTGCACAAGCAATTGTTTGGCCTACTCCTTCCTCCATTATTTTCGTGGTTAAGTACTCACACCAGCAGTGAGTACAAAATTTGTGTTCACATTCGAGTCCAGTCATGTGCTGGAATTGGTAATTAAAATGGGAAAATTTTCGATTTGCAACTTACAGAAGAAGGAAGTGTCATGAAACAAATTTCGCATTCCTCTGTCCCATTGCCAGTCTTTTTCGGTGGCTGTTGGGGGAGATTGGGGTTAAATGAGTTATTGTGGATTGTATTGCACTACCTTGACTTTGTTGCTGTATTTATTGAACGGATTGATGACTCTCGCCTCCGAGAAGAGTTTGTCTTGGTCCCCATCGTAGAACCGTTCCATTAGTTTCTCCTTGTCCCACCTGAAGTGGTTGAGGAGGATCCGTGTTGTGGTTGTGGAGATCTGGAATTAAGGTTATAAATGACTTGCATGGTGAATCCAACAACGAAATCACCTCCACAACTGAGTTAACTTCCTTGATTGAATCAACCATGTGTTGGACGATCTCTTCGGTTGATAAAACCTCGTAAGGGTAGTCGTCGACGTCCGTCTGCTTTTCCCTGTGTCCTGTAACTTCAACTTCCATTGCAAAATCAACATCATCACCGCTGGACTCGTTCCCCGAATCAACATTGTCATAAGTGTCCTCTTCTGAATCCATAACAACAGACTATGGAAAACTGACCACTACCACTTTTCGCCTTTCTTATTTATATTCTCCGAGGGTTAAAACAACGGATTTTTCACTAAATTACATTCACACACATAATGAACGCATTACCAATGGAGATTCACTGAAATTGGAAGGAATAAACTCAGCAATTGACGTTAGTGACACTTCATCGTCTGTCAAATTTATCATTGAGAGAAGTGTTAACAGATGGCGCACTACAAACAAAGGCGACATGACCTTGACTTATTGCTAATCCTTCACCTCATATTTTCATTTTCATGAGAGCATTTTATGATTTTATTGCAATTTATTAAAACAAAATAATTTTTTGCTCATTGGATTATTAGTATTATTATTACTAACGGAAACTGTCGAAAAAAACACATCAGCCTGTATCGACTGTCCGATAATACATTTAACAAAAAAAAACGATGCAACAAAAAATATTTTTTTAAAACAAAAACAGGTTTTAATTTCACACTAGAAACATTTTTCTCGTAGAAAAACTGTTTTAATGCAAACTTAAAAATAGACTAATCTGCATAACAGGTATTTCAAAGTAACATTTCATAATAAAACGATACCTTTACACACGAAGATTTTTCTTCTTACTGAAGTAAATTTAAAAAAATATGAAGGCCACATTTTTATTTATTCAATTTTTTTAATTCAAAAATTTTGTAATTTTTTTTTTTAATTTTTTTGCTTCAAATAAGTTTGAATAGAAAATAATAATAATAAATAGATCATCCTGTCAGGCCCGTAGCTAGAAACAATTTTTAGATGCAGGGCGCCCAAAATTTTTATTGGGGCTAGAACAGTTCTGCCGTTTTGTATAGTACACGTATATTTTTTTACTATAACCATAGATGAAATATTATCTATAACTGATGTTACTGAAAGATTCCAAATTTCAATATAGAAAAACAAAAGGAGCACATACAGGGTGTGTCAGAACTCGCGCCCCAGAGAAAAATTTGAAGTAAGATACCAGGAACATGGAAAAAAATGTTTAAAAAATTCTATCTGTCGAAAAATTTTAACATTTGACATTTTTTATGTCTATTTAATGATACTGATGATCTTGTATATGTTTTTTTTTTTAATTAT